AAAATCCAACCAAGAGAATTCAAAAGACTGAAATTACATTGGATTTGAAACAGAATGAAATTAAAAAAAAAAAAAACCAAAACAAACAAACAAACAAAAAACCTGGAGATTCCTGCCTTTTCTAGTTTCAATATTAGTTGCAAGTAAGTAAACATGGACTAAAACACTGTGCAGTTCTAGGCCACAAAAATTAAGAACAATGCTAAGTCACCTGAATACATCCAGAAGAAAACAACCAAGCAGGTAGAAGGGCTGGAAGGTCTGTCCCACAAGGAGGGGTGGGGTTTGGATAGAAGGAGGCTGAGGGACAACATCACTGCTGTGTTCAGCTTCCAGAGGAGGGGAAGTGGGGAAGGAGGTGCTGGGCTCTTCTCTTTGCAATTCAGCAACAAGGTGTGTGGGAATGGTTCAAAAACTGCATCGGGGGAGTTTCTGACTGGACATTAGGAAGCTTGCTTTTTTTTTTTTTTTTTTTTTTTTTTTTTTTTTTTTTTTTTTTTTTGGGGGGGTTTTTAAACCCTGGCGCGCTTTTCTTTTTTTTTTTTTTGCTGAGAGGATGGTTAAACCCTGGCACAGGCTTTCTAGAGAGGTAGTTGATATCTTGAGCCTGTCAGTGCCTCAAAAATAGGCATCTGGATAATGTCTTTTGTTACAGCACGGCAGGGTGGTAGAAATGCTGCAGCCTTCTTTGAAACGTATCCTTTAGAAGCCGCTCAGAGTGAGGGCACAAGAACAGCCATTTCAAGTCCATGCACACACACACGTACCACAGACAGCTCAGCAGAGGAAAGACAGGAAGGGTCTTTGTATGATATATTGCAGCAAGGGTTTATTGCACCCACCATGCCAAAGGGACCACAGACAAAAGACAAAACCATGTGGTCTGCACAACTTGAGTATGGGGTCAGTGATGAATGACCTGAGGGCACAGGGTGGGCAAAGGGCAGGAACCTGTAGGGGGAATGAGGGATGAAAAATTGGGGTGGGCAGTGTCAACTGGCCAATGGGGGAGGCTTTCTAATGTAGATTGGCAGTAATGCTGCAGAGCATTATGGGTTAAGACTTCTCTATCAGCTTAGGTGGGGAAAACTCCATGACATAGTCTTCCAAGGCAAGGCTTTGGGGATTTCCCTGAGGGGGAGGATTCAGAGGATTCCACAGTCCTTCATAATGGGCTTGGAATTTGGTCAGCCCTGAAGTGGTCAGGCAGGTCCCTTCCAACTGTTCTATTCTATTCTATTCTGTTCTATTTTTTCTGTTATTAATTGCCATACATTTTATACTCAACATAGGCTATACATTCAATCCAAAAGCAATAAGGTTAAACAAGGATCATAGGAGCACACAGTAATTCAGGATAGAAATGGCTTCAGGAAGACTGTGGTCCAATGTCTTGCTCAAATCAGGGTCATCTGTGGGACCAAACAATGTCACTTAATCCAGCTTGCACTTGAGAGCCTTGAAGGATGGATACTGCACCAACTCTGTGAGCAACCAGGTCCTCTCACAGACATGTCTTCATCACTTCTCTTGCTCCTTAACAATGCACAGTTTGATTTGATAAACTTACTTATGTAGCCTACAGCAACATTGGCAAGTATTTTCTGTTGCCTCTCCCTATATATGTGCACACTAAGTGCAGATTTTGCTAAAGACTGGTCCAAAATTTCACTTTCCTTTCCCAATAACTTTTAGATCTCAAGGTGGAGGACAGAGTATGTCTTTTCACATTGAACAGTTCTGTTTATAGCTTTGAGATGCTGTGAATCAGAACTGGTACTAACTGAAGGTCTGCAAAATGCACAAAGCTCTAAATGCACCATTTTTTTATATTCTGTCCTGTGTTGGTGTCCATCGGACAAAATTCACCTTGCTTAAATAGCTGTTACACCAGCTGAAATCAGCTTAATTAGGCAAAAAAGTAAATTTGGCCCAGTAAGTAAATCAAGGGATGATTTTCACACTTTAAACTTAATTTTTTTAAACTGTTATATCAAAAAATTTAGATGGTATTTTAATAAATGCTTTTAAAATTTTGTTTAGGTTTTAAGCTGATTTTCACTGTATTTACTGGTCTGCTAATTTTTTAACTTAGCAAAATAATCCTTTAAGAAATTACTAAACTTTTGAATTTGGATGGCAAAAGTTGCAAGTTATATGGCAATATATAATATTTCTTTCTTTGTATTTTAATATAAAAATACTCCTTCTGCACCCACCCCAGCAGCCCCCAATATAACGTTCTTCTGCCACATCAGCCATACCCTCCTCAGAGCTGCTTTTCTCTTCCCTTCCCCCTCTCAAATTGGTACCTTTTTATCCTGAATGTGGTTCTAGATTTCCAGCAAAAAAAATGTGTTTTCAAAATAATTGCTGCAATCCTTCAAAAGTGAGAGTATTTAATAAAAATATTTGTCTCATTAGACTTGGTGATTAAATCCATGTACAGAGAGCCAAAGAAATATAATGAGTAAATATTCTATAAATTGCTCAGCTTCCCGCTGTTGAATTTAATAACTTCACTAATGCTCAAAACACCACAGCAGTTTCCAATGTACAAACATGGAATACAGGAATAGCAAGAAAAATAAGCCTTTTGATAAAAGGACTTTAGGGATAATAAAACAGGAAGAACTTGTTATGTTTGCCCAATTATCCAATCACAAATAAAAGGCCAAACAAAATTAAATGTAATAATAATTTTAATGAAATTTAAATGAAATAGTTTAAAATATATAAAATTGAATACATTTAATAAATTGGCTGTGTAATTTGGTTATTGAAGAGGATAAAGAAATTGAGCTGTTTCCCATGTATTTTACCTTTTATATTATGTTTTCTGACAAATTGTCTTGTATTGTCATTCTAATTGACTGTAATTGATGTGGGAAGCTACTGATGAGCACAGACAGTCTAAGATGTTGGTATTTTATGTTCTGGCCAGGATGGTGCAGAGAAAACGGCTTGAAATGGTCTCTTTCTCTCTGTGTTGCAGTAGGACTACAGAGTTAATCAGTTCTTATGTGGAAAAACAAAGCCCAAGTTCTCTAAAGTATCTTTATTTTCCATGAAAAATCTTGGATGCCTTGATAAACACTGCAAAAAAGCAACGAAATACAGTACTTTATCTTAAGAAAATCTTAACAGCATGATGACATTGAAAATGCAAAATTTTGAAAATTATGGGGATTTAGGAAACTGTAGGTTCATTTTCAAATATTTGGTTTGGAATTTGAATACTAGCTTTAAGAGAAGTCTTCAGGATCTGCTTTTCTCTTGGTGCCTAGGAATTCAAAAGTTTTGCACCATATTAATTCTGTCAGTGTGATAAATGTTAATAAATTTTACAGCTAATTAAATACTAAAATATCCTACTGCTGCCTGCCCTCTCCTTAGAACTCCATTTCAGAGTGTGACTGAAAACTCAGCTGACAGTGAGAGCAGGAAGTTGTTGGGAGGAAGTTTGTTGGAAGAAAGTTGTGATATACTAACTCACATGATCTTACAGCCTCATTTATACTTCAGGACGGCATAGGAAGATGGGATTTCCCAGCCAGGCCAGTATTGCAGGTGTCAACATGAACCAAAGGAGTCTGTGTGCTGTGAGCAACATGGAGTATCATAATGCCCCTGAACTACATACCAGGTTCTTTTTCTTAGACTGCTGCTTGACCAGATACATTTCCCATGTTCTCGGCTAAATTTACTAATTTAGTTCTTAGAGCGCTTTTGTGATCTTGTAAACCCTATGACTCTTAAGGACCTGCAGGGCCTGTAAAATTCCTTATAAAAACACTGGGTTTTATTTCCCTGTTGTTTTTTCTAGCTGAGAATTCCAAGGAACACAAATTCCAGGAGCATTTGGGTGTTGGTATTCCATATGGAATACAAACATCCTTCAGTGCAATTCAAGACCAGAGCACCTGCAACTTTCTTGGCAGGACCATTGGGACTAGAGGGAGAACAGAACATGGCCTTTGTATGGGGGTCATCCATGCCTTCCCAATCAGATTAATAATCTTCATCTGTGTGATAAAGCATTGATAGTATAAGGATAAAATGTTTCTAAAATCATGGGATATTCGGGGGGGGGGGTTGGAAAGAAAGGTCGGGCCTGGTAGGCCCTTGGAAATGTTAGGATTTACTGGATCATGTATACTGCACCTGTATAATCATTTAATGACTGTGATAAATTACGTGATTGTTAGATGCGAATATTGTTTAGTAATTGGATATAATTATTGTTTAATTGTAACAAGAATCATGAAAAACTGTGTTGGGAGAGTTTGATGGAAATTACAAAAATCCATGCTTGGATGAAATCAATGTATACAATAGAAGAATATAAATTTAATAATTAATATGTAGTTATATAATCATAAGGGTATAAAAACATGTTCATCCTGAACCCATGTTGGAGTCAGATTTGGGTCTGTACTCCTGACACCCAGAGCTCTTCAATAAAGGCACCTGCATATAATCATTCCGTGATTATGTGTTCCTGAACACTAACCGAATGAGTCTTTAAAGACTCAGTTTCAGAAACAAAAACTAGCTTAAGTCCATCCCTAGCTGTGTGGTAGAGCTCGTAACTATTATGAAAGGGGAAAAACAGGACTATGACATAAAACTTTTTCTTCCCCTTCCCTTTTATTTTACTTGCAAAAGCCAAGTTAAGCAATTGTTTGCAAGGTTTGCTGCAGTAATATCATCTTTGCTTGCGCAGCAAAATGCAATAGGGAAATGATCTAATTGGTTGTTGGCAAAACCCGTTACTAAAGGTTTGTTATCTAGTCGGGGTTCAAACTTTGCAGGCTGCTTGGAAATACTACAGAAGTGGGTGGTATTCCGTGATGAGAAAGTCACCAAGAGATGGTTGCTTGATCCATTCTTACAGCTATATAGGACAGAAAATAGCATGAGGCACTAACGCTTATTAAACCAGGCTGAACACAGCTGGAAGACACCGAGGCTCAGGCAGGGGAGGGAGGCGGAGCTCTGAACGGCCTGGATGCACTGCACGGAGCCGCCGCCGCGCTCCGCCCTCAGCCCGGCGGGCCCGGGGAACCGGAGCTCTACGCACACCGCCCCTGGCAGCTGCTGCCGCGTGGGACCCGCCGCGCAGAGTCATAGGTAGGAGCAATCGAGCACTGAGCCGGCGCTCCGTGGGCTCCGGCCCTGCTCTCGGAGCTGGGTGGCCCAGGGAGGGGCCGTAGGGCGGGAGCCTTTCGGGGGTGGGTGGTGGTGCCGCCGCGGGGAGGCCTACGGAGCCGTACCGTGTGGACCGCGCCACCCGAGGGCGCCGGCTCCTCTGCGCGCTCCCGGCGACGGAGGGGCCCGCGGACTGGGGGCCGGGTGGGCCGTGCCCGGGCAGCGCCAGGTTGCGGGGTGCGGGCAGCGGCCTTGCGGTCTTGCAGGCCCCGAAGCCCGCCCTGCGGCCCGACTGCCGCCGGACTGAGTTGGAAGCGGGGAGCAAGGCAGGAGCTGCCCGACAGCCCTAGGAGAGCAGGACGCTTGGTGGTGGTTCCCATGTGTACAGGGAAGCCGGGGAGTTGCCATGCGGGGCCTGCAGCCTGCGCTGAGGCAGCTCCTGTGCGCTCTCCTCTCCGTGCCACCCGATGGGTGACAGTGTAAGCGGTGGAGAAGCCCAGAACTTAACTTGTTTGCAGATACATCTAGTATTAGTGTATGTATGCATTTAGTATGCATAACCGTCTCTTCAGTTGCAGTTTAAAGCGCACTGGCAGCCCCATACTCAGGCGAGTGATAAACTTGAATATGACCGTATTATTGAATCTGACAATGACGAGGTGCACTATTTCACAGCCTTCTGTGGGTAACTTTTGTATTTCTTTGTAATAAATTTTGCATTGTGAAGAGTAGACACACTCAGAGGTCTGTCTTAATATTTGCTGTAGAGCTTGTGAAGCTCACTGATTGCTCTTGTGCACTTAAAGGTGTATTAAAGTGTTACTTCAGAGTATTAAACTTGCTAAGCTGCTTTGGTTTATTAGCAGGCATGTTTTTCCAGTTCTCTCTCTGCACATTTACCGGAAGAGTGTCTTTGAGCAGTTGCACTGCTGTTTTGAGTGGTATGCAGAATGTAGGAAAACAATCTCAGATCTTAATTCTCTATGTACATTACTTATATGCTGGTCTATATATATTTTGCCTAGCATAAATGTATTCTTTATTACAAAGAAAATAAGAAATTATGAACAAATGCTTCTTGTGAATATGTCTTTGTTACTGTATTCTCTGGAGTGGGCCAGGATGTCATACATGTGTGCTTGCATACAGAAATGAATTGATGTCAGAAAGCTGCTGCTCCCACCACCTTCCTGCTTTTTGTATATTTTGAACCATATCCCAGCTAACAGGGTGTGCTTGCTTCAGTTGTCTCTTTTCCCCCTTGAGTGATAATGAAGATAGAGGAGCATGGTTATCACAGTGGCTTTGAAGGAGAGGGAAATGAGGCAGTGGCAGTGCAATCACTGAAATTAAGTTCTTTTGTAAGAGTACTGATATTATAGTGTAGCTTTCTGTGCAGTCTCTTTTTTGATCAGCCTTGTGCTGCTGGCTTGGCCACCAGCAATATATAATCCAAAGTCAGGTAAGTCAGAACTGAGTGTTCCGGGAGGAAGATTTCTGTTCACGCTAGTTGTAAGTTTAATGGAAATTTACTCTGACTGCATGTACTGTCGGGCTTTTATTAGTTGTTACTCTATGCTTGCATTACGCTTGTTTTAAAGCAGCATTTAAGTAAGGGAACGAGCATTTGAGAAGCAGGCAAACAACAAAACTTTAAAGCCTTTAGGTACATTACTCTAGTGAGCTTGAGAAAGTGACCTTTATCAGTGTGGTTGGTATAAGTGAACATGAAACTGATGCCTTAAGTTTTAAGTTTCATATTTTCCAGATTCTGTACTGCATTACTATATAACTCTGAAGTTCATATAAAGTGTTGGCAAGTTCTCCTCACAGTTTAGTTAGACAAAACAATCCTTTTCCAGCCAGAGAACCAAGGACACCATTGCAGCTTCAGGCCCAAAAAGTATTAACAACTGCGAATTGAGGAGAGCAATCTGGGAGGATGGTACTTCATAACTTGAAACTGTAATTGGACAATTAACCCCAATATGTAAATGGCACAAAACTTATAAAAGTGTGAAATCTTGTGACCAGTTGTTCATCTTGGGTGTAACCACAGCTGGGTTTTTGTACTGCCCAAGTTGTATCCTTTGAAGGCCTTTTTAATAAATACCTACTTTAGTCCTTTAACACTGTCTAGCCTCTGTTTCTAGGTAGCATCTCAAGTCAACAAAACCTTTCCACCAAATATCTAAATATCTGCTGCAGATTGTAGCAAAGTAAAATAAAGAACAAGTGACTTAAAGCGCTTCTATTAAAAAAACTGAAAAAACTAAATTGCATTGATTGAATAAATTTTTCGTAATATGAGTAGGTCTATTTTTGAAGTTTCTTTCTTTGAATAGCTGTTCCTAGTCAAAGGCTGAATATTGTATGGTTTAGGCTGATCATTTCAAAATAATGTCACCAGAGCTGCACTAACTTGTAAGTATAAAATACTACTCAACCTGAATTTCTTCTGGAACACAAAAACACTGGAGACCCATAGTCCCATTAGAACACTGGTTTTTAAAGAAAATAAATCAGTATTTATTTGGTGAAAACTGGAATACTTTAAGCACTCTCCTTTTGTTTGTTTGTTTCTGTCCCTTTCTTTTTAAAAGGCAATTTAGTTGTTTGTTGACAGCTTAGGTTGTTTGGTGTCTTCCCAAATGGGCTAACCTGAAAATAAGAACTTCGAAAATTTAGCTTAGTTGATGAAAAGATGGAAGATCAAAAATACAGAGAAGTAAAAATGAAATTATAAGGGAAACATTATTCTATTTAACTAATCAACTAAAAAATAAAAATCATTTGTGTTACAATATGCATCAGCTACTTTGCATGTATCTCATTGTTTCATTTTTTGATGAGCATAGTAAACAGCCACCTTTGTGTTGGCCAGGAGCATCATTTTACTGACAAAGTGAAGTGTTTGTCTGTGATTCAGTCCAACAGGGGAGTCTCATTGTTCGTGTGGAAGGCTCTAAATATTTTAGAGAAGTTACTGTCTGTTAAACACTTCTGTCTACTGTTGCTTGGCAGAAAGATGTTAAATGGCCTTCTTTCCCACCGTTTTATTTCACTTCTCCTGCTTGCTAAGTCTGCTCATGCAAAATTCATGAGTCTGGTCAGATTAGATTAGATGTGTATTTTGTCTTTGTAAATTGTATGCTCTGTCATGCTCATCTGGTCTGAGGTAGTCAGTTGTGTTGCTAGCTGTAGTTTCTCAGTAGTGCACTTATGATGGTCTTCAATTTTAAAAGGTTGTTTTCTGGATCATAATAGTTTTCTGTTTAAAACTGTTAATAACAAGAATTTAAAAAACTGATTCCTGCTACTTGGAGTAGGAGCATATTAGTAGAAATTGACGTAATCATCTTTTCAAAAAGAACACTTTGTAAATGGTAGTTTTTGGCATTTATTGCTTGGTATACAGGGTAGCTGAATGGCTTAATTTTTTACCTGTTGACAAGAACACACCTCCCTCTCCCCCCGCCGCCCCCCCCCAAAACACACACTTTACTTGTTGTTTTGTAGTCTGTTGTTTTACATTACATTCTGAAGTTACTGCACTGGCTTTGTTAATTCAGTAATATCAATTCATGTTTTCTTAAGGTCTGTAGGATTATAGTGTATGTCTTACACATAATTTTATTTTCTTGCATGTAATTTTGAGGAAGTAAATCTGTGCTACACTTAGTTGTTATTCTATTTGAATGTCATCTTATGTGGTGCAACAATTTCATATTGCCCCCATTCTCTTTAGCTTAGAGGAGTATGGAATTTCTTATAAGGAACAGCAAACATTTTTTTTCCCTTCAGACTGCAGGGAGAATGATGTAGACCGTATATTTTACTCTTCACTAGGTGACAATTGAAATAATTAATGGTGTCCTGACTTCACACATGCTGGACTATTACACTTACTCCTGATGTCTAACAGAAAAACATTTTGTCTTTTAAGTGCATTGTATATATCAAATAATGGTGGCACAGAGAAGGGAAAGTGTCAAAACTGGCTTGATAGCTGTATTCAGTATGTTTGACTCTTTTACAGTTGGTATCACCACTGCCATCTCCATTCTGCTTTTTATTTTTGCAATTACTGTCATTGTATCAGTGTGACATATCTCAGTGATTCTTAGCTAAAAGTATTGCCAACAGGCTTGGCATCTAGGAGGAAGAATCAGTTCTGAAGAAGAAAACATCTATTGAATGGACAGAAATGTAATGCTTATCTAAAAGGAAAAAATGTTGTAAAATCACTTCATATTCTAGCTGAGAAGATAAGTAACAATAGAAATGCCAAATGATAGAGAACCAGTTATTTTTTTGGGAGTGACAGGGAGTAACTTACAGTAGTTCCAAAATAATGTGGACTTTCTACAAAGCATAAGAGTATCAAGGAAAAAAGCTCTTCATCTTTCTTTTTTTTTTCAAATACTCAGTATTTAAAGTTTGTATTTTGTAAGTCACATTTCCTTTCTCAGAAAGACAGTAAGTAATACACGTAACAGAAGAAAAACATTTTATCGGGAAAAAAAAAAAACATAAGATTCTGAGTGCAGTGAAGCACATGGCAAGAAGTCATTTCAACAATAAATGATTTACAGTGCATATTGTGATATCAGGCCCTGGTGTGTCATGCATGTCTGTTTTTCATTTGTCCCATGTTATGAGAAAGATATGAATGGTATCTGACAGCTTTGGGGGGGATTCAATAACCAGAAAATATTTATATTTGCAAAATGTGGAAATTTTGATGGTTTTATACTGAAAGAGCTATCCCAAAAATATTAATGTATTCTTTGAGGCCATACAGTGATTTTAATAGTTAATCTAGTATTTATCTTCATTATTTCTCCGCTCTGTGTTTTAGACAATTTTCTCAGGATTTATCTGGATTACTTTATATACAGAGCTTGCTTTAAATATACAGAGAACTGATAAAGTCTTGTAAAATCACATTGAATTCTATTCTGAAGGCCATTCTGGTAGATATTGATTAAATTAATTCTCTTGGTAACTGCTACTTTCAGTTACTTTGCATGTGTTTTTAATATGTGGACCAGCAGCAAAGGTTATGCCATCTTGTTCTTAGTCTCCTTGCTTAGATTCAATAATAATCTTTAATTACAAATTGTCTTGAATTGGCATCACTCTGTTGTCACTCTGTTTGAGAGGGAAGACAAAGCAGCAGTGATCTGAAGAAGCGGTCTTTTTAAACTGAAGTACTTTTTTCCAGTGTTATAACCGATGCTGGGCTTTACTGATGAGCTTATACATGTAAACAGCAGTGAACATAACAGATGTTATCAAATGCTTTATAACCACAGAAATGTCCTAAAGATACTGTCAAAAAGTTTTAAATATCTGTTTATAGGTAATGGTACAGACACTCACTGTGAATCTCAAATTATTTTCTTTTTTTTTTTTTTAATAGGAGTCTTTTAAATAATATCTTTATGTCTTTTCTGGCTTTTTTCCCAGATAAGGATACAAATAATTTTGAAGCCATATGGCAGCTTGAATAACTGGCATTAAAAGTCTTGGGAAAGAAGAGCTGAACATACATGCTGAGTTTTGGTCCTTTGCTTATGGAACTGGCCAGTCATTCCTGTTACCGTCTAGCAGTCCCTAGCTCAGTCCCTTCAGGTTTTGATATTTGTGATACCAGCTTCTGATGATGCTATTGCTTTCAAATGTTTGACAGATTTCTTCATTTTGATACTGTTCTTCACACTGCAGCACAGAATGGGAGTTCTGCTGTTTCAGAACCTTAAATACTTAGGCTGGACCTTGCTATCTTGAAGACTCTCTGCTCTGGTATTCCTTTGTACTGGTTTACAGTGAGGGTAATTATTGTGCAGTGAACTGCTGAGTCCTTCCTTTCTGCATGGTTACTTTTCCAAGTTGATGGCTTTTGGTTACCAGAGCACATGCCCATGTTTCAAACAAAATTAATTTAATTTAAAAGTTGTGTTCTGAGAAGAGAAGCCTTTGTGTTACTTTCAGATTTTGAATGCCAAAAGTGTATTAAGATATCTTAGTCCTGCCTCTTCTTTAGGGAACATACTGCTGTGACAAGTGATTTGTTTGTTCTGGGCTATTTTGTTTATTGGTTTGTTTTGTTGGTTTTGCTGTTTATATGTGACTAGGTAATATGATTAATTTCCAACCTTGCAGTACGTCCATTTTATTTATACATTTTCTAGCATCGTTTCAGTTTCTTTTAACAGAACAAAGTGAGTCTTTCTGAAAGGTTCCAGGAGAGATTTCCAAACTGCAGGGTAAAACTTGGGAATTAAGAGCAAGAACAGATACTTAGGTTTCTTGCCTAAAATCACAGGGTAGCTGTAAGTTGTAATGCAGAATTTCTGTGTGCTGTGCCTCCAGTAATCGTGGTTCCTGGTGGTACATAATTTCAACTTCAGAAGGTGTCATTAATGTCTTTGTCTCAGCAGCTGAGGCCTCATCAAATTTACTGTTTTACTACTTGATATGGTGTTAAAGTAGTAAACAACTGCTTCTGCTATTCTAAGACTGGTAATTGACTGCATAGATATATATTGAATTCTGTTAAATGTAATGGGAAGCATTATTGAGTTGTGTGGACTTCCTGCAGTGAAAAATTTTGGTGTCTGATTTGCTTCAGTATTTTAATTCTTTACTTAACTTTTTTACCTGTATTGATTGATTCACAGAATTGTTAGGGTTGGAAGGGATTTCATTGGTTGGACTAAATGGAGATCATTTAGTCCAACCCCAGACCATCTAGTACAAGCCCATAGTACTTAAAAGCTCACTGGATGAAGTACATCTGCAAAAGTTATGGTATACAAAACTGGTAATAAAGAATCCTAAGTATACCACAACTGAGAATGAAAAGAGACCATAAAAGACTAAAGGAACATTAAAAATAGTCTCTCCATAATATAAGTCTGTTAATGGCAGATAAAATTATCTTTAGCAGAACTGTGGGCATTTTGTTTAGTCCTAATTTATTAGCATAGGGAGCAGCAGGTTGATTGGGGACTAAGCAGGGAAGGAGAGATGGGAACATCAGACCCCAGCCACTTAAATCCAGGGTTAAACCAGCATTCTTTTGGTCTTGGTAGGTGCAAAGGAGAAATACCAACCAGATATCTTCAAAAGGTAAAAAATCACAAAGTTTACTAGTGAATTACAGAAGATAAGGAACTTTGTCAAATTATTTAGTACAACATGAAACACCACAGCACAGACATAGCCTACTGAACATAGAAATCCTTTAAACCCATTTGACATTATCTTCTGTGAAAAGAAAGTTAGAAGGAGAAAAGGAGAAAGACAGGAAAGATGTAGAAAAACAGACATAGCTACCACCTCCAGGGTTCCAGTGATGTAAAGCTCCAAGATGAAGGCAGGTTAAAGAGCAACATGATTGCCTCATGGTCAGCAGCCTTCTTAAAAACCCTTCCTTCCAGGTGGGTCTTTTGGTTGCTTGGCCATTTAGGAGGCTGAGTTAGGCAACACTGGGGGGCTGCCTCCATTGTGCCGTGAGTGACAGACACTCCGAGGCTGGGTCAGGGCACCACCTCATCAGAGGTGCCTCACAAACCTCCTACCACATATTCCAAGCCCCCAAGATGTATTGAAACAGATTTCCACTCTCTGACAGAAGATTATTTGAACTACTCCTTCCCAGTCCCTTCACAGAAACAAGGTAATCTTATATTTTGCATAAGGCTAGTATTTTCTTTTGTCGAGTGATAATTGCACACATTTAATTGCACACACCTTCTCTTATTTAAAACAAATTAATGAAAATTGGTCTTAGTGGGATTTGGGGGGTGTCTAATTGCAGAAGATGGAATAAAGTACTTCCTTTTTTGTTGCGTCGTTGCTATTTGGCCTGTGATGTTCTAAGCCTCAAAATGGCAGCAAGTAGTAGCTTCAAAAGTTTGCAGGCTCCTGGAAGTGTGTTTTAAGTTAGCCTTATTTGTGAAAGATTATTGAGCTTTTGAATGTAGTTTATGATTATATATAATGAATTTCAGTATTTTTTCAACTTAACACTTGGATACTAACTTTCCTTCCTTTGTTGCCTTTAAACATGACATAGTTATGCTGATTTTTTTTTGGTGAAGTATATTGACTACAGAGCCACTAGCTGTGCTAGCTGACCTTTAGAGCAAAGATGAGTCTGACAATGAAGGATTTGCAGGAAGAAAGCATTTCACAAATGTGACTTGTTTTGTGAAGTAGCTGTGTCACTGAAATGGTTCAGATGGTGCTGAAAATAGTAATGAAAAGGAGGCTTTACGGTGTTCTGGCATCTGCTGTGATGGTGACCATATTTTTTCCATGTTAGAGGTGATAATAGCTTGCATTGAGCACTTGTGTTTGTAAAGGCACCAAATAATGTATTTGGAATAGTTGTGAGGGAAGGGTAAAGTAGTCTGTTTCCAAGAGAAACACGAAAAAAACAAATAAATATTGCTTATTCTTAAAATGCTTATAAGAATCTAATGCTATATTTATTAAAGCAGTATACTTTGTTAGAAATACATTAGAACCTATTAGAATAAAAGACTGTGTGTTTGATTAATTGTGAGTAACATGATAGGTGAATTTTCTTGGGGAGTGGGTGAAGATTGTTGATGACCTAATCAGACAAGCGTGGAACAGGTAGGATGCTATTCTTTGAATCTAAAGGAAGCTGTCTGCGCATCTGGAAGATGGAAGTATTGCAGTGCACTCAGATTAGGTTTGGTCCATGGTCATATCTAAATGAGATCATACTTTTTAGGCATGTTTTTTGAAAGCTTTGTTTAATAATATTGTCAGTAGACAAATTGCAAAGTAAAGATGGAGGAAAGTGCTGTGGATCTGCTAACGGATGTAGATGCTCCAAGAGGTGAGGGACTGCAAAGAATCAAATGCACCAGAAAGCTAAAAAAATGATCCAGGAAGATGCTCCATTTTTGTGTATGGTAGTATTCAAGTATGGTTTTAGCTATTTAGAATTATCAGTATCTTTATAAGTATCTTTTATTTAGAAAACCCACCCACGATAATTTTTGAAGACAGACGTTGGTGATAGGTTTGTTATGTGACACCATGCAGAGCTAAGACCAGGCCGAATGGGGAAGTACTGGCTATGACTTCTGGGTGATACAAAATTCCTTTCCTGTGGTCCTCTCAGCACCTTGTGTTGCATTTTCTGATCAAGCTCTGTTTTATTTTAGGAACTAAGCTTTGTGTAAAAAATGGAAGTTGATGTGGCTGGAGAGTCCAGAACTGCCCTCTCCACTCTCTCTGTGCCTCTTGCAGAGGTGAGTTCTGCAGCCAGGATGGAAGCAGAAAAGCCACGCTGTTCCAGCACCCCCTGCTCACCATTGAGGCGGACAGTTGCAGGGTATCAAATCCTTCACATGGATTCTAACTACCTGGTTGGCTTCACAACTGGAAAGGAGCTGCTAAAATTAGCCCATAAGTGTATTGGAAGTGAAGAGAATAAAAGAGAATCTGGTCCTAACTTGGGCTCCAAACATCTTGATTCAGGATTTTCACGTTCCTCGCGTTTGTACAAAACTAGAAGTAGGTTCTACCAGCCATATGAGATCCCAGCAGTAAATGGAAGGAGGAGGAGACGGATGCCCAGCTCAGGGGATAAATACAATAAAGCTTTACCATACGAACCTTTCAAGGCACTTCATGGTCCCCTGTCTCTCTGCATTTTGAAAGGTAAAAGGGCTCATTCAAAATCCCTAGACTACCTCAATTTAGACAAAATAAGCATTAAGGAACCTGCTGACACAGAAGTGCTACAATACCAGCTCCAACACCTTACTCTTAGAGGGGATCGTATGTTTGCAAGGAATAGCACATGAGCTATCATCTCAAATTTATAAATGATTTCTGATCTTGGTCTGTTGCTGCAGAAATCCACTGTTATACTGTGTACATGACTGTCCACATTGTAGGTGGTTTTATCAGCTCAGTGTTACCAGGAAGTAATTTATTTGAATACAATCTTGGCAATGCAATGTTCTACAAATACTTGGAGAGAGAAATCTTTCCTGATCAAGCAGCTTCTCATATAGATTTGACTGCAACTACTGGATATTTCTTTGGACACATTTTAACAAAATAAAAAGCTTTTGATTTTTGGTATTTTTTTTCTGTCTGCCACATCTAGTGTTTACAGCAATTCAACACTGAAAAATTTATGATGTCTGCTTGGTTGTTGCTAATTTTGGCTTGATATTAGAAACTGCTCTTGGATAGGTACCCAAGGAGGTTTTTTGGGTTTACTTTTTGTTTCTGTAGTAAAATGTATGCGTTTTTCTTACAGCATGGATAGGAAAGTGAGCATGACTGGATTAATTACTTGCTATTTAAGCAATCCAGTTCATACATTTGGGACTGTGCTTGTACTGGTGATGTGGGTGAGATTTGTTTGTAAAAGAAACATTTGCTACTTGAATCTTATTAAATTATTTTTTTAGTTTCTCCATGGAAGTAATTGCTTTGTCCTTTTTATTCTATAAAACATGTTCAGAATCAGTCTTTAAGTTATTAAAGCAAATCTTTCAGGAGGTAAAGTGGTTTTTTTTGTTTGGTTGTTTTTTTGGGTTTCTGGGGGGTTTTTTGTTAGATTTTGTTTTTAAATTGTCTAGAGACAGAAAATGGAATGTCTATACTGGTATGTTCGTCATGTTTTTGATTTTAATTTGTGATTTTAATTTCATCTGTAGTAGCAGATGTTGTCAACTTCAGCATAGCTTTGGAAATTTTGTTGACTTGAAGCACTGAACACGAGCTCTGGAGGGCAGATTTTTTTCTTGACAAGAGTGCAAGTGAAATATTTCTTGTCAGCGTTGAAGAGATGATCTTGAATTTTGCAGCAGGATAATGCAGTGGGTTACTTTTGTTAATAAATTTTTATCCAAATATGACATCAAATGCAGTTTTGACAGCTGTATTCTTAGATGTGTTTAAAATATTTTATTTAATTAGTTTTAATTTTACTTTATAGTTTAAAAATGAAAAATAGTTTTCATACTGTATTTTTTTTAGGTGCAGTCTTGTACTGAAGCAGTGCATAACTTGATTTTGCCTGATGTCCTCTGCAGAAGTTAAAAATAATTTCATATTGCTTTGAAACATAAATTATTTATCAGTTGTTTCTGATAGAGTCAAGACTTTTGTTTGTTTGTTTATCACTCAGAATTACTAGAAAGCACTAGTTAGTGCATGTGCTCTGGGAAATGAAGAGTTCTTGCGCTGTCACTCCACAATTTAAATGAAGGCAGCCCGCTAGTGAGCATTTTGTAGTTTGGTTATCTTTTTTAGGTTTATTAGAAAACAAAAAAAAAAAACCAAATCCAGTGTGTATTCTCAAAGTTACCTACACTGGTGTAAATTTAATGTCTTGAACAATGATCTTGAAAGTAAAAGTCTTCCTATTAGTCTTTAAGTTGAAAAACACAATACGGTCAGATGCCAAAGAGATGGGGGCTTTATTTAAGGAATAAACACTACTATTTATCGAAATATCAAATTAATTTGTATTTCTGGCTGAAAAATAAAAAGGGTATTATAAACAGCTGTTGTTGTGAATTCTTTTGCTGTGTAGGAGAATAAGAGGACATTTAAAAAACCACAACTTTAGACCAGGGAACATTTAAAAACAACTTGAAAGTTAGGGTCCTAGATTTCTGTGAAATAGATGCTTAGCTGTGTTCCTTTGTTTTGGGAAAAGGACCACACATTTACCTTATGTGCATCTTTTTGATATTGTCCAGTGCTATAATTGTATGTAATTGTATACACTGAGAGACTGGTTGATGGCTATATAGTTGAGTTCAGACATAACAATGTGTTGGTATTTTATCTTTGGTGATTTGTTTGTCAGTGTGCTCAGACACAGTCATGGTGTTCACTTAACTCACACATACTTGCAGCCCTCATAACATGGGAAATGCTATTTACATGACATGTAATACAGACTAAGCAAGGAATTGTTAATAGATAACTTTTGTTTTTTCTAAGTTTTAATGGTACCAAGGAATCAAACAAATTTGCCAACATAATCAGTTTTTAGAAGTTCTGTAGTGTGGTCTGGTTGAAGCTAGTTGTTTTCACCTTTAAAGCTGTATATGCTAAATGGACACAATTGGAAGAGATCATCCTTAGTGAGGATACAGTCAGCAAAAACTAGAAAAAATGCTTTGAATAAGACTAATTTTATAATGGAGCTACAGTAGAATAGAGAAATATAAATAAGTGTTAAGTTGTAGGAAAAATGTAGATTAAAACTGAAAAATGTAGATATATTACAATGCTAATACTTTAAAGACAATGTCAAGCTTGGCAACCAACAGTAAAATGCACATACCTTTGCATGTTGTTGGAGCTGGCGAGTGTGGGTTTATTGGTGATTCTGAGGATGACTTTTTGCATTAATTGTTTGCTGTTTGTTAATCTCTTAACTGGGACATCAGTTCCATAATGGGTGATTACACTGAACACTGTAATAGTGGCATAAACAGGTGCCAGATACACAGATCCTTAGAACAACACAATAATGTTTGAATTACTGATTTTTTTTTCCTGTCTCACAGTACATTGTTTTAACCAGAAGGTAATGCCAACTTTCCAAGTCTTCAAAAACCTTCTGACAGATTATATGGGTTTTTCCCCCAGTGACTTTTCCAGGGTAATTTTTTTTTCTCTTTATTCCATCACAAAAGCACTTGGGGAAGATCAAACTGCCTTCAGGTCTACAGAATGTGGAAGGCTTCCTTTCCACATTGGAAAGGAATATGCCCTAATATTTGAAAGGAACCAGGGAACATTACGTTAATATTTCAATACCCAGTCAGTCTCACACTGTTCTTAACTTACTCTTAAGTAGCGTGACAGTAGAGAATGACATTGATGTAAACCTACAGAGGCCACATTAGAAGAACTCAGGAAAGAAGACTATAACTTTTGGGGGGAAAACCCAGAATCGGTTGTCTTGTGTTGAAAACAAAAGAGAAGGTAAGTAAATTAACTAATCACATTGTGTCCATTTTTAGGACACAAGTTGCTTCACCTTGCATATGCCTGGTATCGCTCATATCAAGAAATTGGCCTGGAGTAAAGAGAGGGGGAATCTCTCTTTAAGAGGAGGAGGAGAGCCTTGCACAGTGCTTTAATTTCTGTGGCGAGTGGAAGGACAGAAAGAATTCACCATAATATATCAGTGCCGTGCTGCTGTCAGAGTCTCTCTACTCCCCCGGTAACCCTGCACCACAACATATCAGGGAAAGGCTGGAGAAATAAATCAGAAACCTCAGAGGAGCAGCGCTACAAGAACAGCAGGAGTGTAGTTCCAGCATCAGAAAAAGCAAAGACATGGAAGAAGATGGTGTGCTGGCCTCAAGTCTCTCTAGGTAGCAATGGAATGTGTTTCTGCCCGGCTAAGGAGGCTGATGAGATGTCATAGCAAAATGCTGTGATCAGTCTGGGCTGCAGTGAAGGTAGGAAGCAGGAGTTGGGGCTGTGTGTGTAACACTTTCATACTTATAAGTTTAGATGAAATTCAGACGAGAATGCTGAAGGAATGAAATAATAATCTTTATTTCAATTGCGTATGGCCTGAATTCCAGTTCTGTGGTGTTTTATGATACTGAGCAGCCCTACACAGCGTGAATAAGAGGATGGTGCAATTTTGTAGTCTGAGAAGCTCTCTGAAAATGAAAACTTTTGTCTGTTAAGTTCCTTTATTATTAATTTCAGTTTTAAAAAAATAATCTTTCAAGCTTTGTTATATATTATGGTGTAAATACCAACTGTGATGTCTGGTAGGATTGTTGTTGTGTCCTGTTTTGGCATTTTGCTAGACTCTCCGATGCTGAAGCTCTTCATGGGCTGTTCTTTCTGTGATGGGGCAGAAGTGCTAAAATATGCAAGAACATTGAGAACAGCACTGTCAGCCTGAACCCTATGAGAAACTGGAGCAAGCCACGATTTGCTCTAGTGTTTTACATTAACTGATTTTTTAGGAATTCAAAAAATGTTCAAAAAAAGCATGAGGTACTGGGATGCCTTTAGAAGTCTATTTCGGGCAGGAATGTTGCAGCATAGAGCTTCATGGTGTGAACTATAGTCTGCAAATGGATAAAAGCAGAAGGGGAGAGAGAATGTCATTGTGCACTGGAATGTCGAGTGCTAAAACACCAACTTTTTAAGGTAAGTGGATGAGAGCAGAAAAAAAGAATATTAAATGCAAATTAATTTGTTTCTGCCTTATCTCAGTGATTGTAAGTTTTTGATGTTCATTGTGGTGAGCATCTTCCAATTTTTATGGAGAAAAATTGGAGGATATCCAGAATAGCTACAGCTCCAAGTGACTGACTATGCAAGATTTTTACCTATCCATCTATATCAATGCTTTCTATAGAATTTAACTAGTTTTATTTTATGAGCCTTTCAATATTTAGCTGATATTTTTTCAGAATTAGTCTTGTGAAAGAGATAGTTGGAAAAAAAATACTGAAGTAAGAAATACTGATGGGGGTCTCAGTAAAAATGGTAGATAAACCTTCATGTAAATAATGGCCATCCTATCAGTTTAATAACTTTGAAGTAGAACTGCAAACCTAGAGAAAAAAAAAAGAATCATTCACCACTCCAGAAGCAGAGGTGGGATACAAGCTGTAAAGACTGCTCCAATCTGTCTCCAGTTTTGCTCCAATTAATCCAATTTTGAGACACAGCCATGTTTCAGAGATGATGAAGTTCTTCACAGATTATAGTTTTAACATTTCAGGGAGGCTTTTAGAAGGCTGGAGTACCCAGTTCTAGAAACACAGAGTCATTTAGGTCCAAGATCATTGAGTCCAACCATTAACCCACTACTAGGTCCACACTAAACCATGTCCCTGAGTGCCACATCTACAGGTCTTTAAATAGCTACAGGAATGGTTAATACCACCATAGCCCTGGGCTGCTTGTTCCAGTGCTTGACTGTTGTATCGTGCTTTTTGTTT